GGCTGAGGCTCAGGCCCCACCCCAGACCCACTGAAGCAAGAACAGTTTATCAGGATTTCTGGTCCTTACATTAAGTGGGGAGAAGTCCAGAGACAGAACATGAGCTGTGGAGCCAGACTGCCTGGGTTTCTATCCCAAACCTATCACTTACTGGTTGTACAGCACTAGGCAAGGATTCTAGTGTCTCACCGCCTTAGTTCCCTCATCTGTTGAGTGGGTGTAATTATATTAATTAGGACAGATGGAAGTTTTCGGACTTAAGTACATGACTACATTGAAGAGACCAGTATGGTATCAGGTACACAGTAAGCTCTTCCCAAAGTTTGCTACATTTATTTTTTCCTTCATTCCTCTGGCGTGCTAAAGCAGTCATGTTCAGATATGGCATTCTGACCTCAATATTGAGATGCCACATTTCTTAGTCAACATACTGGATATTTGCTTTTTCTTTGTATAGGCATATTTTAAAAATCGAAAATAAAAAAGCATTACCACATGTCACTAGGCATTTCTATCATTGCCTTAAAGTATTTGGGCTGGGAAATATTTTTTAAAAATTTGTGGGGCCAGCAGGTGGTGTAGTGGTTAAGGTATGGGACTTTCAAGTGGCCAAATGTGGTTCAAGTCCCAGACCCAGTAGCTTGAGAATCATGCCAGGTGTGTGTGCATGGGTGCCCCAAATCCTGAGAGGAAAATGGAGAAGGGATTACAGTGTGGCTGTCCCCCCTGGGGGGAGGTATTTCTCACTTTCCCTCTCTCTGTCTTGCTCTGTCTATCTGGCTCTCTGATGAGTGCATGCTCCCTATTGCAAAAAACTAACATAATAATAAAAAATTGTAAAAAAAAATGTGTATGGAAAACATGCTGGAAGGACAAAGACCAAAAAACATTACTTGTATCTGCCCCATTGCTGAGGGCTTTTGTTTATTTCTTTACATGTTTAAATTTTTTTTCATATGACTTATTTATTTATTTTTTTCTTCTGAACAAGGTCTCATTCTGCTAGGATACTCCTGCCTCAGTCTCCTGAGTGTCTGGGATTATAGGCTCATTCTAAAGTGGGTTGGGAATCTACGACTTTTTTGTTTGTTTGTTTTTTTAGAGAGAGATTTTTACTATAGAGCATGTGCATTCATCAGAGAGACAGAGAGACAGAAAGCGAGAAATCACCCTCAGGGAGGATGGCCATGCTGCAATCACTTTTCCTCCATTCTCTTCTTGGTACTTTGGGCATGCACGCGTATGTACCCACACACACATGAGTTTCAAGCCTCTGGGTCTGGGACTTGAACCCACAGTCAGCCATATGGGAGTCTAGCATCTGCACCACTGCGCCAGTTGTTAGTCTGAGCAATCAACGGCTATTTAGAGGAATAACTATAAATGCTATAAAGACTTGTTAGGATTCAGATGAGCCTCCTATTCTATAATTTGACTCATTTACCACCCTAAATTATAACTTCACAGAAGACAAATCCAATGACTTAAATTTCTTTTTTTTTTCTTTTTGGAGAGGTTTTTGCTATAGGGTGCGTGCACTTGCCAGACAGACAGAGAGAGACAGAGAGACAGAAAGCGAGAAATCACCCCCCAGAGGGGATGGCCACGCCGCAATCCCTTCTCCTCCATTCTCCTCTTGGGATCTTGGGCACGTACACACATGCACCTGGCATGAGTTTAAGTCACCGGGTCTGGAACTCGAACTGCGGTTGACTACATGGGAGCCCAGCGACATAGCCATTACGCTAACTGCTGGTCCCCAACAACTTAAATTTCTGTTTATTCCTTAACATCCAACCATTATTCAAATGATCTCTAGATAGTATGCAGACATACTATACACATATATGTACACATACGATCCTATACACAAATGTATATATATGTAAAATGTGAATACCGTCTTTTCATATGATCTCAAATAAATATCTATTGTGCAAATCATGGGAGAAATATTCAACTTTTCTACCTGTTTGGTTTCAAATTATTCCCTGAAAATAACTTAGTAGACTATTAAACAGCTGGTAATAGAGTCCAATGAAATCTTTGATTTTCAAATAGAAATGACCTTTAGAAGTATCACATTAAAGGGATTCTACTAAAAAAGTCTTTGCTGCTAAAATAGTGTCTCTAGTGTCTGCCCTGTCCTAGATAGAATTTTCTTTTGAGAAAACCACAGCTACTTATTTTTGGTGGCCTCATTCAAACAAACTTATATTATCTCCAGACAAGATAAAAGACTTCCTGGTTCAAAGGTATCAAATGACTTTTCTTTCCTGGTTTTACATGGCCAATGTAGATTTTTTTCCCTGAGTTTCAAAAATGAGGTCAGTTAAGGTTTTATATATTTCAAAGGAAAAAAAAAATTCTGTTTTAGACTAAAATGAAGTCTGTGTGATTCAATGCCACTAAAATGATTTCTCAGATTGAAACTATCCAAATATTCTCTAAGTTTAACCAATATTACACATTTCTTTTTAAAAATAATTATTTAATTTAATTTTATTTATTATTATTTTTCAATTTGACCAGAGAGGGAGGGCGAGAGAGAGGGAGAAAGCAAGCCAGCAGGTATAGGACTCGAACCAAGCTTGGATATGTGGGAGTCCAGCACCTTAACCACCTTAACCACTATGCCACCTGCCAGCCCCACCAACATCATACATGCTTTTTTGACAGAATGCTCTCTGGAGAAAACTACAGGCAAGTAATAATGCAAGCAGGCTCAGACAGGGAAAGAAGAGAGTTTAAATAGGATCTTGGCCAAAGGCCAGCCTGACCCCAAGGGGGAGCTCTGGAGCATAAAATGCAACAGAGAATTTGCACACCCAGAAGCAAGGGCCCTGAGCATCCTCCAGGACCTGTCAGTCATGGACTCAGGTCACCTCCTCCCGGGAATAACCTGCTACACATCTCCAGGCAAGGTGATTTCTATCAGCACTGGCCAGCCTCAAAGTGCCTACAGTAGCCCAGGACAGGAGATCTGGGCAAAGCACCAACAGTATCTGCTTCAAGCATGCAAAACATACGGCTTCTGTGGACCCCAAATAAGCCATGATTGCTCAGACTAATCCCTCATTCAACTCAAGGATGTGGCCTAAGTGTTTTTCTTTGGCTTTTTTCTTTCTCTCTTCCCTTTACAGATGCTAAGTATAGATAGGCATGGGTGTCAGAAAGAGCTAGTGGAGTACATTTGTACATACTTTTAGGCAAACAGTTTTGGCAGTGTAAAGTTTCTCTGCAACCCTAGTTTTTGCATACCACAGAAGCATTATTTATGAACCTTCCTAGTCTAACTTTAAATTTTCTCCTAGAGGATGATGTATCTAGTAATCCTCCCTCTGGGATATAATCCCTGCAGTGTAAACCAAAGCCTGGAAACGTTTGCCCTTATGGTAAATTGCTTTCTGTTTCTTTTATTTCATTTTATGTCATGTTTAGTTCACTTAACATCTGAGATCAAACATTTCTCAAATTCTACATAAGACAGAAAGAATCACAGCTGTGCTCCAAAATGTGTTCACATGATGTTCCTCGAAGATCTGTGTACAATGGTGAAGCTGGAAAATATCTGATCGTTTGGGATTGGGTAAATCAATGATGGTAGTGCTATATGATACAAGACTATGAATCACTAAAAGTCATGTCATAGTATTTAATATTAAGTAAAAGTAAAAGTTTATAACATAGATTGTGAATATTATGCCCTCTTAGGAAAACTTAATATTAGGTCATCGGAAAAATCATGATGCACTTTTGCATAGAAAAACATAGAATAAATAAGTGATGACTTTTCTGATGACCCAATAAGTGTGCATAAAAAAATTAGCTATGTATGCACTCCATGATCATAGGGGCCATCTCTGAGTGGCTTGGGTCATTAAGTTAAAGTGATTTTTTTCTAAATATTATTTTAAAAATATTCTATAATAAACCTGAGTTACTTTTGAAATGAGAAAATATGATTTAATAAACAATATCAACTGTAATAGACTGGTTATTAGTCAAAGTGAGCAAATAATTTTTAAGATTTTTCTTCCCCTATACTGTTAGAGCTCTAGTTTTCTCTTTTTCTCCAAAACTTCCTGTAAATAATCAAATGAAATGTGAAATAGCTCATTTTTATCACTATTTTAAATATTGATGTCATCTTTAGTAAACATTAAATTATATTCTGCTAAAAGGGTCAGGCAGTGGAGCAGTGGTAATGCAACTGGACCCACATAGGAAAGGTAGGTTCTTGTCCCAGGAACTCCCAGAGCTGATCTGAGCCAGCTGGGCTGGGGTTGGGGGGTGGGTGGTGGCAGCATGAAAACCCTGTCATGGGTGTCTGTTCTCACTCTCTCTTTCTCCTGTGGATAAATAAATACTTAAAAGGACAAAATAAAAAAAATAAAAATGATCACCAATCTATATACAGGTTTTATATTTTTAAACTTTTTTTCTAGTATTTCTCTACACTTATACTCTTCTTAATTATTTTTTGCACTGTGACATCTGATTTAGGATACTATAACAGTGATTTTGGGAATGCATATTAAAAATGTAAACACATAAAAAATATTAAACACTTTATGGCTCATATTATGGGTCAGGCATGTTGTTAAGTACTCTATGTATTATAAGAAATCACAAAAACACTTTGAAAATTCTGCATTTTAAAGACACAAGAAATACTAAATGAGTTGATGATTATCTCCTTTTTTCAGTGCCCTAATCACCTTTAATCAACATGAAATCATCTAGAAACTGTCACCTGAAACAGCAAGACATGAACTGTTTAATGTGATCACAATAAAAATGTTGGTGGTGCCCACAGAATGCCAAAGAGAATGAAATATGAAAAATATGGTAAGTTATGTGGATGTTTTGTGACGTGATGCTGAACTCTATGAAAATATGGCTTCAATGTGCTTTTTTCTTCTGAAGAGTGTAACTTAGGCAAAGTCAGCAGACACTTGTGGGAATCATGCCACCATATGGTTAGAACACTCTCTCACCTCTTTCTTTACCTCTTCTTCATCTTCCAGTGTCAAAGCAGCTAGTTGCTTAGCCCTCTGCTCCATCAGATTCACGTATCGGATTGGGTTTGACAAAGCTTCAATCACATCTAAGTAGGAAAGAGACATTTTAGATCAAAGGTCCTAGAGATACTGACCAGAGATATGAGTTACCCATCATCTATCCATCTCTCCATCCATTTGCTTAACCACCCATCCATTCACCAAATCATCATTTAACCTTTCCTTTTAATGTATCCTTCTAGCTACTTCCCTATTCAGTAGTTTAGAAATGAAAGAGTCAGGACTTTGCTGAAGCCCCAGGAAGACAAAACAAGGATAGGAGCCAAACTGGATAGGCTTCAACTCAAGATGCCTCGACACTACAGATTCTTTGGTTTCTTTTAAGAGCTCTGTCCATCCTAGCAATGGCTCACACTTTTGTCTTATTTGGCTCCAATGGGGTTTCATTTCATCCTGCTTTCCAAATTGTTGGGACAACCCAAAGATTTGGCAATATGGGCTTCACTCACATGGAAGTGGCTAGCTAGAGTGAGTTATGGTCGCCATTGTTGGACAGGGCACATAATCTCAAGTTTACCGTAGTCTCAACCACTCCCCAGTACCTGATACTTGGACCCCTTAGCACTACAAACATTGAAATTTAGAAGTTGCGCTTGTCATCACCGTAAGTTAATTCTTTTAAACTTAGGACTCTGCTATGAAAAGGATCAGAGTTCTAAAAGTAGTTGAAGCAAATTCACTGAACTGACTGAACTAAATAGTCATAGTATCAGTTAGTCTAGGTTAGGCAGTGCTGGGTCCAGTAGAAGAAGAAGACTGCCAGTGAATACATATACTCAAAACTAAAGTATGGGGATTTCCATTAAAATAAGTTCAATTAAATTCTTTTCACCAAGTCTTGAGCAATTTATCTCTAAACTCATATATGTATATATAAAAACAGAGGTGATTATGATGCCAGAATCTCGCCTCTTGTTTGGTCCAGTTTTTCTTTCATTAAAACAATGGGTGACCCCAGATGGAAATAGCCCTTTGAGTTAGGGTGTTTACCTGCATACGTATCTGGCACATAATCCTTCACTTCTATGTAGACAAAGACAGCTGGCAGCATCAGGGGCTGGTTCCTTTCATTTCTCAGACAGATGTAGTGATAGCCTGCAGGTGACCATAACACTGTGTCACATATTTCTTCATAGTGTGAGTTCTAAGTGTGAATATCTATGTGATGGAAATGTTTATTTTGGATGACATTGCATGACAAATGTATCACTTCTTTCTCATTTGATTCATATGCTCTTGATGAATAAAGTATTATTTTTTTCCCCATCAGACCGGAAAACATGGTGGATTCTGATGTTTTCCACTTCTAAACATTTTTTCCTCTCAGAAGAGAATTAAAACTATAGACCAGAAATGGTCCAGGTCTGTGCCCCATCACAGAAGGGGACATCAAAAAGTTTGTGAAAAAATAAAATGGCAGTATGAGAATACTTTGGTGCCACAAATGTGAAGCCCATGCACTGTTTTTCATGATGTGTGTTTTCTGTGACCATTCTAAAGACCCCTTATAGAATGACATGATGTCTCAACACGGGTTTAGCATATATTCTGTTCATTGGCTAATGTGTTTGTTTGTAGAGACGTATAATGCATGTGTCAAATTAGGCTTGCCCTTTGGTATTCCAGTGGTCTGCCTAGAGAAGTCCATATTGTGGGGTATCACTGCCCCAGAATGAGCACAGGGGGAAAGACCTAACCCCAAACATGGCTGAAGTCCAGCCACATTGCCAAGCCCAGGTGAGGTCAGCCAAACCATGACAAACCACAGACTTGCATGCATGAGGACAGATACTTGTACAGTAGTTTTCAGAGAACTTGGTACACGTAATTACTCTAGTGAAGAGTTGACTAATACATAACAGCAGGGCACACAAATATGAAACTTCCAGATTTCAATAAATAATATTATAGCCCTTATTACCTAACATAATTACAGGGCAATGGTGTCCTAAATTATTAGGAAATAATTTATGCAATGTATTGATAAGTTTCTTTGCAAGTTGCATCTCACAGGCAATAAACTCTCCCTACCTGGCCGAATGGCTTGCACTGGCAAGATCCGATGGCCGATAAATTTACCTCCTTCTTCATAAACTGCTATCCTTAGACAGGCCAGAGAAGGAAGGACCACCTATGAGAACATTAAGGAAACAGTCAGTTACATAAATGAGCAATTTCCAGAAAAAAATCTCTAAGGTTTGATTCATTCTGGCCCTGCTTCTACAAACTCAAGTAGAAGGATCTATTTAGCTGGTATACATTAATAAAATAAAAAAAAAAAAAAAAGAAGCTATTACTATGTAAGTTAAGTTTTTAGAAGAAGACAATGAGGTAACAGAAATAGGGTTTCATCTTGGGGGCCAGCAGGTAGTGTGGATTCCCACATGGCTGACTGCAGTGTTTTAAGTTGGACTCAGCAGCTTAAAAAAATCACAACAGGTGTGTGTGTGCACATGTGCCCCAAATCCTGAGAGAAGAATACTGGAGAAGGGATTGTGGCATGGCCATTCCTTTGGAGAGTGACTTCTCACTTTCTTTCTCTCTGTCTCTCTGGTGACTACATGCACCTTTATAGCAAAAACCTAAAAGGATAAAAAAAAAAAAAGAAACAGGGCTTCATCTGTATTTTATCACTTCGTCTCAAGGAAGCATTTCTGCAAAATGTAAGCCACATTGTTTTCACATGAACGTTTTCAATGTGGAAATGCCAAGAGTTCTATCTTTAAACATAGAGAGTTAATTGTCTTACTATGTATTTACTTTTATGTTTTTGAAGCACATGACTTTTATACTTTCAAAGCAAAACCAAAAAAAAAAAAAAGAAAAGAAAAAGTATCTTTTATGATAGCTTTCAAATAATGATTGTTTTACAAATTTGTAATTGCCCAAACCAAACAATTTCTTTTCTCAGTGTGAAATATCTGGGGTAAGGAGTTATATCTCAGGTCAAGAATATAAAAGCAACTATCTCTAAAACTTTATTGTTCATAATAACAGAAAACTTATTCACTGAATATTCTAATTGTGCCAAATATTTTCTAAGTGTTGTTAATGTATTTATTGTAGTAAAATGCATATTAACTTCATGGGCAGACAGAATTTCTTTTTTTTGGGCAGACACAATTATTAAATCCAGTTAAACTATTAAAATAAAATAAAATAAAACATACAGCACAGATGGTTTTCATGAAGAAATTCTTTTTATAGGGACGCCAGAAGGTTAGGTACAGTAGTTAAGATGCTAGACTTCCATGTGGTAGACCATGGTTTGAGCACACATGTACGTGTGTGCTCAAAATCCTGAGAGGAGAATGGAGGAGAAGGGACTGTGGTGTGGCCATCCCCTCTGGGGGGTGATTTCTCACTTTCTGTCTATCTCTCTCTGTCTCTCCAATGAGCACACATGCCCCATGGCAAAAATCTCTCTCTCTCAAGGAAAAGGAAATTTTCTTCATAAAACACTGCCTTTGTAGATATTTTGGCAAGATAAAAGCAAAGTGTATGGTTGTTATTAATACATATATTTCATCTTCCATTATTTGAAAAATACGCATGAAGTTTGCTTTTGGGTAAAGACAGAGAGAAGGGCCCATTTGAGTATGAAAGGTTTTTACTATGTCAGAAAGAATCCAGACAAGATAAATTGACTGGCTTTCAGTAGTGGGAGTTTCTAGGGATTGTGACTAAAATTCTCTTTAAAGGCAGTACAGACTGGCTTTCTCTGTCTCCACATTATTTTCTATTTTCCACCCTATTTTTTTTTTTTGAATTCTAATGAAAATGTATTATTTATCACTTGTACTATAAGGTAATACTAGTTAAGTTTATGTTTTGTGGTCTCCCAAATGAGGTAACCTAGAAGGAATTGATTTACAATATAATTCTGAAAATTCATGTATGTGGCTAATAGAAATCTTGAAGGGGGCCAGCAGGTGGTGTAGTGGTTAAGGCACTGGACTCCCACATGGCTAACCATGGTTAGAGTCCCGGACCTGACAGCTTGTGTTCTCATTTCCCCTCTCCCCCGCCCCCTGTCTCTCTGTGATGAGTGCAAATTTAAAATAATAGTAATAATTGCAATTAAATAATTTAATAAAGAAATCTTAAAGAATTTTCTGGATGGCCTTCAAATACTATCATTTTATACATGTGTGAATTGCCAAAGTAAGCACGTGCAATTCCTCATTTCATTTTTTTCTCAGTGTAAAATTCCTGAAAAATGTGATTCCATCTCATGTCAAGAACACACAGAAGTCTGACCTTTTTGAACACAATAGGTTCTTCCTCCCAGACAGGATTTACAGCATTTCCTTGTGATGTCTTGGTTTTAAATGCCTTCCTCCTTGTATCCACAGGCAAACCAAACATGTCCACTTCCACGTAAGTCCCGACTTTCTTATCAGAAAGAAACTGACCTGAAATAATCTAGAAAGTAATAAAAAAAGGAAGTTGATAAATGAGTAACAAAGATCAAACAAACAAATAAAACACTTGGAGAAGGTATAAATGTGGCTGGTGAATGCTGAATTATAAGCAAAAATAAATAGAAGCAAGAGTAGAAGTATAGGTGCTGGCAGGTGGGGTGGTAGTTAAGGGTGCTGGACTTCCACATGGCTGACCGTGGTTCTAGTCCTAGACAGGGCAGCTTGCTTCCTCACTTTCTCTCTCTCTGGTCAAATTAAAATTAATAAATAAATAAAGTTAAATAAAATATTTTTTTTTAAAGAAAAGAGTCGAAATACAATCTCTTTTTCACTTAAACAGTTGGTACAGGAATATTTTTTAAAATGCTAGGTTAGAGGGGGTTGATTAATGAGACAATGACGTTGAGGAGGCATAAACATAAGTCCCCTTTAAACCATCAAGGCCAGTTCATCATTACCCCTACCCTCACTAGTGAGTCATCTACATAACTGTGGGGATCCTTTGCCTAGCTACAGAACCAATGGATATTACAGAGTTAAAAGAGAAGGTGAGAGGAAGGGAGGCAAGGAAGAAAAGAAAGAAGCAAAACATTTAAGGGACACAAAAGTGGGACATTATCTGTTGATGATCACGTGTATGATAAGGTCTTTAATGCAGTGTACTCATGCTGGGAAAATTCATTTTGCAAGCTGTCATGCTATATAGTGATGGAATGCATAAAAAAAGAGAGAGATTTTTAAATCACATATTCATAAAATGTCCTCTAGAGTTGCCTCTTTTTCTAATTTGGTTTTTAAAATCTGAGGGATCTGTTAGTCATCATAAAGCTTCCTGGAGGCAGATGAATGTCCTTCTGCTTGGTACCAGAGCAGGGAGCAGCAGAAAGCAGGTGTCCTGGAGCAAACCCAGTAAATCTGGGTGGTGGGGTGGAAACTCCAGAGCTTTCTGAGCTCAAGTTGATGAAAGGAGACAGAATTTCCAAGACTACGGTTGGGCCAGAAATCAGACGTTATGGTGACATGAGAATAGCCATCAGAAGCCTGGTGAAGCTAGAGACCGATGTGGTCAGAAATCCTGAACAAGGCAGACAGAAAGTCACCAAGGCGGCTCTCTGAGTTTGTCCTGTGACCACTCATGTCTCCTGGTTGTTTTCTTGGGTTTACAGGCATGAGAACAATCTGCTAGCAACAACATCTCAGTTTAACTAGAGGTTCTACATGACAACTACTTAGCAGGCATTTTACAACATGTTTGCAATTTCCAAGGTATGTAAATCCTACTGAGAATTCAGATGCACCAAACATTTTGTACGCTTCAGATGTTTGATCAAACAGAGTCTTAAACTAAATTAATGACACTAAAGTGCAATGTTCTCATCAGTGTAACAGGATGGCAGAACATCCTGTGGGCTTTTAAGTCCTTTCTGGCACTGTAAAGTCTATACCAGAATGATCAAAACAAAAGCACACATCGGACATACAGGAGCTGTGTCCTGGCTCCAGCTCTAATGCTAAGGGCAGGACTCCACTCAGATGTGGCCTGTCCATACATAGAAAAGCATCTCCATCCTAGAGGGAAGCAGCAGGCTACCCTTGTCTGAGATTGCTATGGTGTGTGTGTTTCCCAAAATTCATGTGTTAAGATTTGACTTGAACAGATTAGGAGAGTAAGAATTGATCTAGTGCCTATGTTGAAATGGTAAGGCCTTTGGGAGAAGACCAATGAGTGGTGGTGAGAGTGTAGCTCCCATGACTGAGTCCTGGTGAGTTTATAAGGAGAGGGAATGAGGCAGAGCTCCCATGGACACGGAACATACTTTACTCCAGCTCCTGCCCTCTGCCATGTTGTGATACAGATGTGGCCCTGGATCTGGTACCCATAAACTGTGAGCAGAATACACCTCTATTCTCTTCAGTTACCCAGACTTGGGCGTTTTTAGGGTCTTAGCAACAGAATGAACCAGAATAGGAGCTTGACCATTTCCCTGTCAAAACTCAACTTGATTTCCTGTCTCTGTGTCATTATTTTATAATCTCTTACACTGTCACAATCGAATTTTCAAGACAAATATATTAGCAAGAAAATATATACAGAATGAGATAAATCTATGAACAAAGCAAAGATATTATTAGTTTGACCTAACTTACAACAATGGGCAAAGATTCTAAACGTAGAATTTAATTCGCAGTTTATATTAATCATGAATTGATAGAAATGAAACATCTTTGCTGAAAACAATTTCCCGAGATAATGATAATCATGAAGCCCTAATTCTGCCAAATTTACTCTATGTGGATTAAAATAATTACCAAATATATAATTGTAAGGCATTTTATTGAAATTTTAATTTTAAATCTTAAGTATAGAGTGAAATAAGTGTTAAGGTAAAAATGCTTAGGGTAGATAAAAATTAGTGAAACAATTACAGAGCATTTTTTACAGAGTTTTTCAAATGCCTTGGTTTACAGTCAGCCCCACAATTATATTATGTTTAATAAAAAGGTTTGTTAGTTCTATAATTATTCAGTAAAGCAGAAAAGAAGTGATTCTTTGAAAAAGTAAATGAAATTCAAGTTGCAACAACCAAGGTTGATAGAATCCATGTAAAAAGTTCTTTATTAAAATGGATTTCCCTTCCATAATATTAAAAATATTTTCTGACAGGAAAAAAATTATATTTCCTATAACACCAATTTCAAAGACTGAAGAAAATCATTTGAAATTAAGTTTTCAGAGTAAGATATACATAAATATATATTTAATAAAGGAACGTTTTAGTTTGAGCTCATTAATATTCATTTTTAAATCTCTGAATACTCTGGTAGATTTTCAAAAAAACATGTTATGGTAACTTAAAATCATTTGTTCAATATTTAACAACTTATTGAGAGAATATGTTTTTCTCTCATTTTGCTCAGATCTTTCTAATGTGTGTCACTTTTTTTTTAAAGAGGCTTTTGCCTTAGTGCATGCGCATTTGGAAGAGAGAGAGAGAGCGAGACAGACAGACACAGAGGGAGGCAAAGTGAGAAATTACCCTCCAGGGGAGAAGGCCATGCCACAATCTCTTCTCCATTCTCCTCCTGGGATCTTGGGCACACATGCACCTGTGCCCTGTGTAATTTTAAAGCCACAGTCTGGGACTTGAACCAAGGTCAGTCATGTGGGAATCCAGCGATAAACTGCTACGCCATCTGCTGGTCCCAGTCATAAATATTTATGTAAGTTTCATGGTGAGATATTTATTCCAAGAGAGAACTGGCTATAATGAGTCTCACTCATTTATTTTATTAACTAAATATCCAATTTTTATCATGTTAAGAATGAGGCTCAGTCCTTTTATCTCATCCATGTGGCTTGTGAACATTTTAAAGACTTTATTTTTTGAATATTAATTTTTTTCTTTTTTTAGGTTTTTGCTATAGGGCATGTAGGCTTGCTGGAGAGTGACAGAGAGAGGGAAAGTGAGAAATCACACCCTTCCGGGGTGATGGCCACTGCTGCAATCCCTTTTCCTCCACTCTCCTCTCAGGATTTTAGGTACACACACACACACACACACACACACACACACACACACACACACACATATGCACCTGACATGATTTTCAAGCTGCTGAATTCAGGAATTGAACCATAGTTGGCCATGTGAAAGTCCAGTGCCTTAATCACTACTCCACCTGCTGGCCCGTCTAAGGCAGATTTGACCCTTAAATAGGAAAATGCGTGAAGGACGTGGAGCCTTTGCTAGCTACTAAATGTGCTAGATTTTTAAGGACTAAGGTACTTCTTTGGGCATTTTTGCATAAAGATAATACTCAAGACTTTAGTTAGGGACCATTTTGTGATGGGGATGTACATACCTTAACAGAGAGAGTGTTAGCCACTATCCCGTCTACGATGCCTTCTGTAAATGGGTCAAAATGCTTGTCGGGCCTTCTCATGAACTCTGGCTTCAGTCTGTAGCCGCTCTTTCCATTGTATTCATACATGCCCATATTGATTTGCATGGCCAGATCTGAACACCAGAGACACAAAACCTACTGTGAATAGATTTATGTTGGGAGCAAAACACTAAGACTATAAAGTAAGATTGTATTATCGTCCACTTTTGTGACTGTTTTCCATTTCAAATGAAATAATTTTCCATTGCAACAATAGAGAAAACACAGAGAAGAAAAAAATCCTGCCATAATTACCAAATCCAAAGATAATTTCTGCTAAAAAGTTGCGTGTATAGTCTTAATTTTCTACCTAGAATGTATTTTTGAATTTAATATGTCCATTCCATTAAACATGTCTCTGTTTTGTTTGTTTGTTCATTTTTAGACAGGGTCTTCCCATGTCATAATCTTTATCCAGCCTTCCTTAGTCAGTAGGATTATAGGTGCATACCACACCTGTTTCTTAGATTGAACTGGGAATTGATGCAGGTCCTACCCAGTGACCCCAGCATGCAAGTCTGTCTTCGAAGCACAGGGCACTGTCTCTGCCTGCTTTAATTTTACCAGCTATATGCAATTCCTTTGAGTAGCTATATTTGAATAAAAGGATTTAGTCAGACTGTGTAGGCACATTTATGATTCTTCTAATTTTTACCATTACGTATAATGTTTGTTTGTTTGTTTGTTTGTTTGTTTGTTTTGGAGAGGTTTTTGCTATAGGGTGTGTGCGCTCGCCAGACAGACAGAGACATAGAGACAGAAAGTGAGAAATAACCCCCCTACACACAGGGGGGATGGCCACGCTGCAATCCCTTCTCCTCCATTTTCCTCTCAGGATCTTGGGCATGCACGCACACGTGCCCGGCATGAGTTTTAAGCCACTGGGTCCGGGACGCGAACTGCAGTCGACTACATGGGAGTCCAGTGACATAGCCATTATGCTAACTGCTAGTCCCGGGAGTGTTTTTATTTTTTTGTTAAGTATTACTAAAATGCCCTTAAGCAAGCTTTAACAGATTCAGAGTCCCCAGAGACATTCTTTTGAGGATGGACTACCTCAGACCTCACTAAGAGAGGATACTATCATTTCTTCATGGTTTGTTCTTTAATTTATAGAAAATAAAATCTTCCTTTTTAGTTTTTGCCTTTCTGTGGTTACTTATAATCAACATCTAATTATACATTAATTTGGGGCTGGTCCTGTAGCATGCGGTTAAGCACTGTGTCTTGGGAGCCAAATCTCACACGGCTGACTGCACAAAAGCAGAAATATACAAACCAAGAGACATTTAAAGTGTTCAACCTTAATAATAATCAGATAAATAAATTCCTGTTCCCAAAAAGTTTAATTGTATTGTGTTTCTCTCTTGACCACATTTTTAAAAGATGTTAAAATGAAATTCCCATTAAGTTAAAAAGTTGTTTGAATAAAGCTGACACCTTTGTCACTTTTTAGTTTTCCTATCACAGATAGGATGCTTTTCTCTTTATTTAAAAAATTCTTATATAAAGTACAGCAACAAAATAATGTATCTTTGTTAATGCTGTAGCTTCTTTAGATGAAATCTTGTTTTTGCATGCACTTGTATCCAGTGTGACCTTCAAGTTCCCGGGGCTGGAATTTGAACTGCAGTTGACCATGTGGGATCTGGCTTCCTAAACCAGTAGGCTATGGGGTCACCCTAGATAAATTTATTAATGGCAAAGATATAAAGTTAAAAACAATTCAAATTAACAACAGTAACAAAAGATTGCACTTATTAAGCTCTAGTTTCAATTCAGTGAGATAATTCTTTAGGTTAAAAGAAAAGGGTTGATCTTATTGAGACTATACACAAAAATTAAATTTAGATCATTAAAAGGGCCAAATTACAGATAAAAAAGAAACCATGAGAGAAATCACAGTCAAGAGGGATCTGATCTTGGGGTGGGGAGGCTGTCATCATACAGGTAAACCAAGACCTATAAATTAAATATCAATAAACTCAACCATGGGAAATAAATTCTTCTATGTTTCACAAAATAAGAGACAATATGCCTCTTATATAAAAAATACTGTTAAAAGTGAATATAAAAATTGACAACAGTCCTAAAGAGGCGATTGATAAAAGCAGAACTATACAAACCAAGAAACATTACTTAAGTAACATGTTTAAAATAATAATAATAATAATCAGATAAATAAAATAAAAAGAATGGTGGGACACATTTTGTCTGAGGGGTTATTATTTAATGGTAATACTTAGGCAAGATCTTAAATGAGAGAGGGCACCTCATATTATACACCACTGACAGAAGAGTAATGTACATTTTTTATGGATAATCTGGAAATATGCACAAAGGTGCTTAAAATTTTTCACAGCTTTGGGACCAGCAGTTGGTGTAATACCTACATTGCTGGACTCCCACATAGTCGACCGTGGTTCTAGTCCTGGACCTGGTGCCTTAAACTCAAGCCGGGTGTCTGTGCATGCATGCCCAAGATCCCAAGAGGAGAATGGAGGAGAAGGGACTGTGGCATGGCCATCCCCCCTGGTGGGGAGGGGGGGTGATTTCTCACTTTCTGTCTTTCTGTCTTTCTGGCGAGCACACGCACCCTATACAAAAACCTCTTCAAAAAAAATTTTTTTTCACAGCTTTTAACATAATAGTTACACTTTCAAGAAATTTTCCAAAAGAACTTTTGGAGATAGACCTGAGAAATTATATTCAAGACTGTTTTCAGAGCATTATTTATGGTAGGAAAAGAATTTCCTCATGTCTAAGGATAAGTGATGGATTTTCCATGATTTATAAAATATGTTTAATTCATAGCTATTAAAATTAAAGTTCTGTGTAGCATTTAAGTGTGTGTTTGTATGTATGTATGTGTGTGTACATGTGTGTGTGTGTGTGTACTTCTTTGATAAACAGGAAAGTACGTGTATATAGACAAAAAGACAGATGACAAAGCCAATAGTTAACTGTTGGATCTCTGAATGGTAGTGTCTTTTTCAGTTTCACTTTAGAATTTTCTATTTTTTTCTACAATAAATATATGTTAATTTTAAAAGTATGAGCAATGTGTTTGAAAAATAATGAAAAGCCAGTAGAGATAAAGACCTGCTTATAAATGACTGAGGAAAAACTCCAAATTTTCAAAATTCACTTTTCATATTTTTGTATTATGTCCTTCATTAATATTTGCTTTTATTTATTTTTTCAATCACGTCTGGTGATTTTCTCTTCTTTAATTACATGGGAATGGTTTTTCATTACTCAGGAATTTATTTATTATATTTAATAATATTTTTTTTCTTAACTGTTTGCTATAGGGCATGTGTACTTTTTGGAGACAGAGAGAGAGAGAGGGAAAGTGAGAAAGTACCCCAAGGGAGTGTGAATAGCCATGCCATAATCCCTTCTCTTCCACTCTCCTCTCAGGATTTTGGGTACACACACCCACACACACCTTGCCTGTTTTTTAAGCTACCTGTCCGGGGGTTGAACCATGCATTAGATAACATAGGATTCAGCTGCTTTAACCACCATGTCAGTGGGAGGCCCAAGAATGTAGTTCTATGACAGATAGGGATGGGCATGAGCCATGTTACTTACCCATTGTTTGGAAATTGAGTGCCACCATCTGACACCCTGCATTCCAGAAGAGCTGAGGCATGTAGTTGGATGAATCCACACGTGTTCCCTTTGGATATATCCTGCTAAGCTGCATTTTGTTATATCTGGACCATCATGTTAAGTAGTGCATACAATTATAAAGTAATTAGCCAACATCATTAAGTGAGAGACCATCTTCCACTTATCTCCTTGGGGAAATTGGACCGGTGGGTGAAATATGCAAAAAGCTTTCTGAATACACAATAAATGTGCTCTTATAAACACACCGTCATGTTTGCAGAGCTTTGTGGGTGAAAACTAACAAGGCAGCAGAAACAACTGAATCAAAGTCAGTATGACTTTGTGGAGAACGTAAAGGGCAGACTTAATGATTCAGGACAGAAGAGGAAGCTGGACTGTGCTAAGTCATGTGAGAGGATGATATTGTGTTTGGCAGAAGCAGATAGTATGAACTGTATAGCTATTTTTGAAACGTTCCCTGTTCGTTTTCTTAACCTTCTCCGGGAATGCTATTTGCCAAGACTGTGGTACTCTTAATGACTGATAGCAAGTTAAATATAGCACATAAGTTTCTAACCTTGTTTCATAGTTTGGGTCTTATCATCATCACAAAAACTATGTATGGATTTCAAGAAACAATTTTTTGCACCAAAAGAACTCATACATTAATTCTATTTTTTCATGTTTCATGTACCCATATAGACTTAAGCCATTTTATGCATCTTTTTCTCTTACTAAGAAAACAAACAGCACATGACTTTGGTTGAGCTAATTCAGTAGCCATTCATCAAGGATACTCGACAAATTCCACTGGAGACTTTGTAAGTTGCTCAAGTCCTTTGGTTTCCACGAAGGAAGACATTTCAAAGCTTTTATTTCTTTCTGAGTGTGACAACAAGAACAACCACCAAAAAAAAAAAAAAAAAAGAGAAAAATGAGTGTCATAAATGATAGCATTATAAACAAAGTAGGACAATGATCAGTGACATCCAGGGCAACTAATTCTCAACACAGTTTTTATACCTGATTGTTAGTGAACTAGTTACCATAACAGAGCTAGCAAGATAAGTCTTGTTAGTTGTCTCTTGTACTCTAATATTTGCTACGTGGGATAGAAATACTGCTGTTGTGAAATGTAGGAACATAGATGCACTTCAGGTGAGAGCAGTACAGCAGAGAAAACTGTTTTGTCAAAAGCACAGGGACCATGTGGGGATCCATTGATTGGTTCCTTGGGACCAGTGTTGGGATTAACGAGAGTCTGGGGGATGCTTGTGCTAGATGTTCATATGTCTATCATCCTCACATTGTCACCATTTTGGTTGAAACAATGAAGGGACATTAGATTTACAATATTACAAAGCAGAGGATCCTTGGACATTGTTCAGTCTGACGACCTCATTTTTATATTAGATAAGAGAGGCTAGCAAGATTACAGTGCCCAAGGTTTGAATATTCTTTTTTTTTTTTTTTTTGGAGAGGTTTTTGCTATAGGGCACGTGCACTCGCCAGAGAGACAGAGAGTGACAGAGAGACAGAAAGCAAGAAATCACCCCCCAGGGGGGTGGCCATGTCGCAATCCCTTCTCCTCCTTTCTCCTCTTGGGATCTTGGGCACGCACGCACATGCACCCGGCGTGAGTTTAAGCCACCGGGTCCAGGACTTGAACTGTGGTCGACTACATGGAAGTTCAGCGACACAGCCATTATGCTAACTGCTGGTTCCAATGTTCAAATGTTCTTGAACACAGGAGAAACATTGTGAAAATGAAATCTAAGCTTCCCAGGACAGTGAGGAGCACAAAGTTGTCATCTTAGTTTAGAAAGACTGCGGCTCAATTTCTGTCCCTTCTTCCTGACTAAAAATCAACAGTTATGTACAGTGTTCAGACCAGTGTCTTAGAGAATGGTAAAACAGCTGTAAGTTTTAAAAACAGAGTTATCTTCATACTCTTTGCTCTTCTTTCCAAAATTAAAACCTCATTTATCTTCTAAACTATCTGCAGATCCTTCTTTGTCCACCTCCTCATGTTCTCCAGTGTACTCTAACGTAAACCCTGACTGCTCTTTTGGTCCATCAAGAACCTACTTTCATGTGACTATTTTAAGAATGACTGTTAATTATGGTTAACATTAATAGGTACTTTGTAAATTGTGTTCAGTATTCCTTTTTCTTAAAGAAGATAAACTGATATAAGACATAAAGAGAAAAGAACTTGTTTGTTAATCTTGTGGTTGCTGTTGTTTCAGGTTCTGAAGAACGTAAATGCATCAGCTTCTCCTCACACTTGGCTACCCTTCCAGGAGATTTTACCTAATGAATCAGAAAAACTCAATTTGCAGCCAACAAAAGTCACAGTAATATAAAAATAATCTCTTTAGGTTCTTTCTTTCTCTCTCTTCCTTCCTTTCTTCCTTCCATCCATCCATCCTTCCTTCCTTCCTTCCTTCCTTCCTTCCTTCCTTCCTTCCTTCCTTTCTTTCTTTCTTTCTTTCTTTCTTTGAAGTGTCTTTGCTATTGGGTGCATGCATTCTCCAGAGACACAGACAGAAAGTGAGAAATCACCCCCCAGTGGGGGGGGATGGCCATGCCACAATCTCTTCTCCATTCTCGTCTCCGGATTTTGGATATGCACGCACATGTGCCTGGGGTCAGCTTCAAACTGCTGGGTCCAGGACTCAAACTTTGATGAACTACGTGGGAGTCCTGCAACACAACCATTATGCCATCTGCTCATCTCTCTTTATTTCAAACCGAGTAACATGTGATGAGGAAACCTCAGTAATTATGACATCCAAGAACATATTGAAATCTTCTATACAAACGGTATTGGAGGTTAAATTCCTTGTTGTAGAGCTCTAAATATTACATGACTTTTTGGGCAAAATTATACAAATTTAAATAAGTGTGTTATGTGGAGGCTAGGATTTTGACATCTCTACAAGGCCATCCTTTATGAGAGGTTGCTGTATTTAGGAAAAAAATAAGTTTTTAAATAGAGCATCCTTATAAGCAATTAATGCCAAATATTCTCTTCATCTGATAGTGTGTTATCTTTCATGAAAAAATAAGGGATGCTTCTCTCCAAAAAAAAAAAAAAAAAAGGGGGGTTTTTTCAAAAAAGCGCTCTTTTCTCTCCGAAAAGA